TTGGATGTTCGTTGAGCCTGGACATTGCGCGATGATGTCCGTATCGACTGTCGCGACGTTTGTGGATTTACGCGACGCTGGGAGGCTAGTCGACGTCGTGTCAGTCCGCACGACGACAGTCGATTCGACAGAATTCCTATGTTGCAGACGCTGCAAAGAAGCATAAATGAAATGGCTCGAAGGGCTGCGTCAGTTATGAAAGGGCGACAACGTGTTATCGACGGAACAGCTTTGGAAGGACACATCGCGATAATCGTATGGGCGGAGATTCATACCAATTGTGTTGTCCTTATTGGTGCGCCGCTCCTTCTAATCACGGCACGTCGTACTTAGGGATAAATCGTAATTGGTCGGTGGAGGGAGGCAGCGAGCCGCATTTGCTTTTGGGGAGGAGGTTTTTAGTCGTTGACCTTCCTTGCTTCCCGTTTACGTGTGCTATTTCACCCTCCCTCTTCCTCCCCCTTCCTGACGGCAGTACTTTGAACAGAAATAGTGATGGGAACATGGGATAATCCGAGAAGATGGTAAATATGACGGGAGGTGGGGACCGAGAGGGTCTGTAGCAGAGGGGGAAATCTTGAGGAGGAGGGGTCGTGTTTAGCAATATTTTTCCCCAACAGCAAGGCGTGCTGTGCTTCTACTACAGAAAGGAGAGGAGCGCATCAGTAAGGAAGCTAGCATGGTAACGAGTCTCCGCCCATCGATTATCGCGTAATGAAGTTACTCTTCGTCGGAAGTAATTGTGTTCCTATAAAGAAAGACCTGTGCTTACTACCTTCAGCTTTGGTAACAAACTAATTTTCGCGAAATGGCGATTGTACAACTATCTTCAGATTGGTACTGGTTGCCGCCTCCGCCTCATTTCCAACAACGCCCACCAATTGGAATGAACAAAATCGCCTAATGGTCCCCCCCCCCCTCTCACCCCCTTCACTAATGCGTGTAGTTTTGCTGAAGGTGGCAGACGCATTTATATAACCACAAAATACAGCAAAACTGAGAGAGAAAACGTTGGAAGCAATCAGGTAAACTCGTCCACTCATAGCTCTCTGCGTGGTACAACCTTGTTCGCCTAGGACGCTGAGGCGTTTCAGAGGTGCTGGGTCTGCCGCGCAGCCAGCCAGTTTTCCACCACTTGTGGTCGCCTCTCAGCTTCCACAACCAGTGGAGCACGGGGGGCACGTCAAATCCAGCACCCTGACACGCCCAGGCGTCCGCAGCAAATAAGACTGCTCCAATTTCTCTCCCTCCGAGCATTTCGGAAAAGTTTGCCTAGATATGTCACGTGTGCAATAAAGAGGCAAAATACCGTTAGCCATACGGCTCAAAGTATTCGTAAAACAATCGCTCATAAGAAACCCAGAAAATCCGATCAAAAAAGGGCTCCAATCTAGGATGCCCTTCAGTCATTCAACTTTCCTCCGAACATGTGAACTTACCCGCAAGACTGCCGGCAATTCTCCCACATATAATTAGGATTCACGGCACACTGGTTTTGAGCCGTCCATGCTGCACATCTGCTGGGGTTGAAATCACTACACGCTGAAATTACAGTTTCGTTATCAAGTGCAGCCGAGCTTCAGCTAGATAGGGGCTTTATAGAGAGCTTTAGGATTGCACAACACCATGAGGACCATTGGGATACGTTTTGTAAAACCAGTTGGTAGCCAGTTGGTTCACAAAAGGGGCAAAGCGGGTTGAGGTGTTGGAGGATTACTATCTCGGTACTAGGGCGCAGACGGGCAAGAAAAGGCGTGACGTTGTCTCATATCCGACACCGCCTCCGACTTTCTTGACCCCAACGGTTCGCTAAGCATAAATGCAATTTTATGCGGCTCTTCTCAGCTGAAGGGTAGGTTTAAACTGGTGTGGTTACCAAATAGTGTGGATCACAGACACACACAGTATGTGAAGACTAAGCGAGCGGTCATGCGTGCGCTAGGCCTGATCGAACGAAGAACGAACTCCTGGGCGAACAGTTACGGCAATCTTAAACACGACAGGAGCTGCTGCACGCATGACCGCACGCGCGATTGCAAGCTTGTGTGCACGATCTTATGGTAAATATCTGAAGAAATTTAGCCATCTCAGCTCTCAGAAGCGGCTTACCTTGTGTATTGTAAGTGGTCGATCCTGCTGGTGATCCACTGCACAGACCACAAATAGGCTGACAGTACTGCATCATGAATGATCGCTGATTCCGCGCAGTACAGTATCCACGGCTCGCCCACGCAATGCAGCAGTAATGCTGATTTAAGCAGGCTGAATTAATCGGAATAATTCATTCGAGATTCAGGCGTTGTTCAGTTTGGGAGGGGCATTTACACTTCTTCAGCTCATTTTGCTAATGCATGTTAACTAACAGGTACCACCAAAACGAGACCTGTCAACCTTTGTGAAAAAAAACAAGTGAGCCGATTTCGCCACAAGAATTCAAAGGTTTTCACAAGGTGGCCTGAACAAGCTTCACTGAGTACTGTTTGGTGCGCTCAGTAAGTTGAACTGCGCCTGAGAGCCAGATTAAATGCCAAAAATCCTACTCGTCGTCACTGGTGGAGTCGTTGTGGTCGTCGTCGTCGTCGTCGTCGTAGTCGTCGTTGTAGTAGTTGTAGTGGTTGAAGTCGAAGAAGTAGTGGCTGCAAAGTTTGACTGGAATGGATAAAACTACTATCAAATGAGAGTGAGGAGTTGGGGGGGGGGGAATTGACGCTGTCATCAAGCACACCTCCCCAGCTCAAAATCCGTGCTGGTCAGTTCAGTCGAGCTTCTTCAGGGTCGGTTAATTGAATCAGAGTTTTTTCAGAAAAGCCAAAAGATGAACTGCACACTGCTTGTCCCCCTCCTTTTTTTCCAAAATGCGCATGCAAATAGACACCCAATACCTTGCTGAACCTGCACACTGCTTGGTCCCTCCTCCTTTTTTCCAATGCGCATGCAAAATGACATCAAATACCCTTGCTTGGAGCACCATGCGCAAAGAGTGTTGGGTGAAGGTAGATGCATGCGCCATCCCAAGAACGGACGGTTTCCTGACTTGTTCCCACTTAACTTTTATTACTGATACATATTCTGAGAACGAACCTCCTCCACCGCATGCCTGCAATCTGGTAGTACCACAAGCGTTGCAAGACTGGCGACAGTTCTCCGTCATCCATCCTGCGTTACTTCGACATTCGCCCCTTCCAGCCCATTCAGTACACCTCACACTGCGATCCGAACACTAGAAGGAATGATTACTTTCTAGTTCACGTTCAAGACTTTGTTCTTTGAGAGCATCATATTTCAGGGGTCACCAGGTAGCGATTGGTGAGTGGATGGTCAAGCAAGATTCACGATGCGCGGCGACGCGGCCCGAAAATGCTATAGTCAACAGAGGGACCTCTAACGCGCTGTAACCTATTGAGACGCGCTAAGCAAGAGAGCTTGCATCTGAATGAAAGCAGAGATGAGCGAGAAATGCGAAATGAACCGATTGCTGTAGCCATCGCACGCCCAAATGCGCGCGACCTCGCGTAGTGACTCCAGTTACACGCGCGTACCGAGCTGATTACAGTTTGTCGCCACACTTGAATCTCCTGGTCCTTTCTCAATGTTTTGCTTTCTACTAGTGAGACCCTTTTAACTTCTTCTTTTACTCCCTGCACAGTCTCTACTACCGCTTTATGGCACGATAATTTGGTACTCAGTCTAAAATGCTAGCAGGGCGCTATATAGTGGGAAAATGGCGAAAAAACGAAGTGAAACGGTCGAAAACCTGCGAAGAAAAGCCTTCGTTCTTAATGACTCAAAAGCAATTTCGGACGAGTTTCCCGTAGGCATCTTGCCAATAACCGCTACGGTAGGTACGGCTGCACGTATGTACTCATATATCCATGCAGCACCGCTTCATATCAATCCCTTCGCTTCATATTTTACTTCGCAAAGCAATACGAGCATCAGGTACGGTCGTCCATTTGTGGGCGGGCGGGCGCAGTGGGCGTCTGGGTCGGTATGTTGCCGGTTGCAGCTTGATAGGGTTATAAGGGTACCTTTTTTGGAAAAGGCGCTACGCAGCGCCTGCTCAGGGTGCGGAATTCCGTCCTGCCAGGCGTATTAATCCTACTCCTCATAGAAATTTATCGTGCCGGCTGCCTTTGAGAGTGATGAGTAGAATCAGAAAACGAAGAACTCCACAAAATTGATAGCCCAGTGGCGAACCGAATCATTCGAGATCGAGGCGACTGCCCGTTATCTATAGGCACCTCCGTACTAATCGGGGGGTGGAGCCAGACGAACCGCTAGACCTTCCTGATTTGTAGGTCTCTCTCCAACAAACTAAAAAACAGGGAGCACCAGTAAGGAAGAAACGGTATGTGCCTGGCTCCGCCCACACAATTACCGCGGAATTTGCCATTGAAAAACTGCTTGAGGGCCCTTCACTCAGTACTTATTGGGAGAATTTTGTTCGTGGAGAGTAGATCAAAATCACCTGTGTTTAGGTTGTATGTGGTTGGTGTACAGACACCACAACTTGCTTTACACCACAATCTCATGTACGTGGGATTTCTAGTACATTCTCCACGAGATGCCCATGGTGCGCAGCATTGTTGCTCGTTGTAACACGTCTGTAAAAAATTACATACGAATTGAAAAAAATACTGTGATCTCCCTAATGGCATCTGGTATTAGGTCCGTTTCGACGGATGGGCCCAATGCACCTGTTTCTATTTTTTCTTCCGGTTCGGCAAATCTTAACATTTACCTCTGGTGCAGGAGCAATGGGAGTGGTGGTATCGATTGGAGGCTGCGTGGTTGGTGTTGGTGTCTGCAAATGGAATTTATAAACAATCGACGAGAAAGCGTGTGTGGGAGCAGGTAGGAGAAGCACGTCGCATGCTGGTTGGGTTGTCTTAATGTAGCTTTATCGAATAGAATGAACTAGGTCCTGGTGCGAATGCCGCGCACGCGACGACACCAGCGGCGCCACGTCCGCCGCGTCGCCGTTTCGTGGTTCTCCTGCCTGCACCGAGTCACTGTTCGTGTACTGTATCGTACCGGAGTCATTGCGCAGACGTTATTAATGCATTGGCCAAGGTAGCATCGATCCTCATCTGAAATTGGAGAATGTGTGTGGCAATGACAGAGATTGGCTAAATATGGCTTCTTAGGTATGGCTGGATATAGCTTTTGAGGTACAGCTGACAGGGCGCGTCCTACCACTGGGTAGAATTTTTGCAAAACACAACCCCCAATTCCTCTAAAGCAGTCCCCCTCTCCTCCTTTCTATGCATTTTCTGAGGGCTTCCTATCGTTTGTTCGCGGAAGTTACTTTATTTTGCTAAAAAGTTTTGGAAGATAGTAGAGCTGCCGAAAGAAAAGCCAAAGACTCCGGACGGAAGGTTATAGACACATGAAACCGGGAAGAACTGCAGAAAAACAACAACCACAAGAAAAAATTGTTTTTTAGAGCCGTTCCCGGGCCCTACTAGCGACAAAAGCGCACGACGTTGCCCTGACAAATAGAGAACACATGAACAGGCAGGCAGCACAGGAGCACCGAACTGTATCTCCGTTGAGAGAGCGCCAGATGAGAAAGAAGCGGGTAGGGCTGCGGAGTCGAACAGAACTAGCTCTCCTTCGCGACTACCCCTGAGGGGCAGTAGGCACGATGACTGGGGTCTGCGGTTGCTGCCAACGTCATTGATGGAGCTTATGATTGGTGGGGTGTGGCCAAACGATCAGCTTTTCCACCAAATGAGGTCGGCAGCAACCGCCCGCCTTCCCCCTCCTCCACCCATTGTGGCCCCGCCTTTAGCAGCTACGCTGTTTCCCCTAAAAGCTTTTCCAAAGGACAAATTCCTCGCTTACTGTTCGTGTATCCACTACAGGTGCCACCAATATTGATTTTTGAAGCACATCGAGGTGAACCGTGGGAGAGATCGCAGAACAAATACCTGTAACAGAATTATTGATTGCTACAAGCACTAATCCTCAATTCTAGGATTTATTCAAGATGAATTTCCTGAAACAGAAGATTTACTTTGAACGGCATCCGTTCGGGTTTGCTCTCGTGCAGGTCGGCCGTGGATCGTACTGATAGAGATTATCTGAAACATTCGACAGTGGGACCTTCACCCTTTGCTTCTTCTGGGAAGTGCGGCAAGAGGGCACCATGCGACGGGCGCACTTCTAGGCGTGCGGCGCCGCCTGGTGCCCTCTCACGACACACCTCAGAAGAAGCAAGGGGTGAAGGTATTTCGGGTCCCAAGGTCAATCTTTCGTGTCCCGAGGTCAGCCTAATTTCAGGCCCATTCAGTTTCCAACAAAATGTTCCCAAAAGGCGATACTAGGCAGCTGCTAAAAAAATTAGTGCAAGCCTAGAGTTTCACTAACCTGTATAGGCGTTAGAAAGCCCATCGAGGTTCACTTTCGGGAAGAATGGCGCCATGGTGTTGTTTGCATAGTGCGAAGTACTACTGCATAATGAGTTATCCATTGGATACTGCGTTTCTCGTTGAGATCGAGACTGTAACGGAACATATCTGCAGGCAATATTGTAGTTTTTAGCGTTAACACGTTTCCTTCTAGAGGAATTACAGTTTAGTTTTCTCAGCACTTTAGCTTTTGTACTCTCAGCTCTTGCATTTTGCCTTGGTGAACAGACAAGGCGCAAGAGCAACCCAACAAGAGCGCTGGGGCGTTGGAGGTGTAGTGGTATATTATGAGCTCGAGATGCGTTAAGGATTGAGTTTTAGATTGGCCCTAGCTCGCGGCGAACAAGCCTTTCATCATTCAGGATTTGAGGGTAAATGGTACCCAGTTTGTTTGGGAAGGCAACAGCTTTGACTCGAAGTTCAGCTAACTCCCAAGTCATTGTGTAGGCCAAATCGCATTCAAATCGCCAGCATGATTCCGTACGAACGTGGTGTACATGGCACATCCCAAAAGGGATAGAAGTTTTACCGTGCAACCAGTTTCCTTGTGCGCTGACGACGAGACATAATACAGTCATGGTCCCTGCGGAAGAGAAGCAGGGAGAAGGACTGTCTTGGAGGTTCGGGGGCGTGGATTGGATCACAGCAACTTTTTCCACGAAAATCATACCTTTCTGAGTCCGCGAAAATTAGCGGAAAGGCTACTTTGGTTGCGCCCTATACACGCCCTTGAGGACGTTCGTCGAAAAGGACAATGGGGGGCAGTAACGCAGCGTTCAGCTTTCACCCAATGCGATGTAGTCGAAAGCATGCGTATCGATCGCGTCCAACGCGCTACCGTCGTAAAGTCTGAACGCTGCCTAAGTGACTGCAAATAAGTAAGGATAAGGTGGACTGGATTGATCAGTCAGAACCTTTGAAGAACTGCAGTCAGAGATGATTGTCAGTCAGGAAGAACTGCAGTCACAAGACTTCCATCAAAAAAATCTGAAGCAAAACTTTTAGCTTGAGAGGCATCTTTACCTGTCGTGCAAGACGCCAGAGTTCCCAGATATTATCAATCATGGAATGGTGATTGAAGAATACTGGATCGTTGGTGGCCGATGTTGTAATAAGCATATCACCTTAACATTAAAGTTTTCTTAATTGATTTCAAACCCGAAAAAATGTTTATTTCAGTCCTCTTGTGAAACATTTCAAGATGAAATGCCACAGGGTTGGCGCGTCTGTCCTGCTTCCGGAACGTGCCGCATACACAGAATCGCTCTATTGGGCGTTCAGACTTGGCGCATGACGCGCGCACGGCTGCAGCCAATATTGCTATGGCGCTCCAGCTGCGGTACGCTCTGGCTGACTCGGCCTACTTCTGCACTTCCGCACAGCAATTAATCGGGGCCTGCCACGGATACCACACACGCAGTATTGCGCAGTTGTTTTCGCTGGGGTGCCATAATGGATGTCCCTGACCCTCTCTCCACTCACAGCAGCTTAGTTGGCAAATAAAGTCATAAAAACCATTCTTTTACAGTTGGAGCAGGGTGGGGAAGAGAAGGCTGTCATGGAAGTTTACACGATCAGTATTCGTACCTACCTCCAGTGAAAACATGAGGACCGCCGTGAACGTACTCAAGCACTGTCCATGGAGCCGGATTAGGACATCCCTGGAAGCCAAGGTTTTATGGAAATCTACTGCTCCAAGGAGACACGCTTAGTGAACTCACCGGTTGCGGTGCAGTAAAAGCAAGAAGTTGTGTAAAGTCTGAAGAGGCCAAAAGAATCTGAATGTCACTGTCTCTCAGCAGATTACCAGTAGTGCCAACGCTTCTAGAGAAGACCCGAGAACCCTGAAAAATCAAGCTACAGTGTCTCTGGGCGGTATTTTCAGTAGAGCATAGACTCACATCTAGAGTTAGCCAGTTCCTAAAAGCTCCAGTTGTCACGGAACCGTCACTTCCTTGTGTACCCATCAATTCGTTTCCCCAAAAACATGACTGGGAGGGATCGGGTAGAGACGAGTCCAATGTGGAGTCCCAATACGGTAGTGCCAAAGTGGGGTCAACACGCCGCAGAGCAATTTCCAATCTGGAATAAATGCAATAATCGTGGCGAAATGAATGGTTGAAAGACTCTGTTCAGGAAGGTCTCACCTCTTGATATATTCTCTATGCCATGGTAGAAAAGCCTGGTCCTGAGTGTGCCCCGGGCGATGTAACAAACTGTGCATGGATTCGACCAATGTCATCATAGTCGCCGTTGCCCTTAATGGTCCGCATTGCTGTGATGTAGCTGAAACGAAAAAAACCTTCAAGGAGACATTCCGCGATAACCGGGTGGGCGTGAACCTATAACACAACCCTCTCTAGTACATCCCCTCTTCGAATGCATGCGGTAGAGATGATGGGGCCCCAAGTAACGAATGTTGGCTTTGAGTTTCCGCCCACCTTACCATAGTGGAATTGCTCTTGCAACTCTTGTCTTTGTTGCTTTCCGAACGAGACCAACCCCCTCGCCACCCCTCCCCCCCCGACTAGCGCTTTCACTGTTTATCCAAAGCAAAACAACCAACTAAGCTTTGTTTAAAAAAATAAGGCTTCTCCTACTTTTGCCGTTCATCGTCCGTCAAAACTCGAAACTCCTTGCGGACTGCTTTTGTTAATGATTGACCATTTGGAAGTGTACAAGTCGAACCGCCAGTCCCTGAAACGGTTCCGTTGGTTACCGGCAAGTTCAGCTGAATATGTGACAAGACAATCGTAATACTCGCGTGCGCGGCGAGCGACTCCGCGCACGCGAGAGACGAGCTGTTCTGCCCAAGCATTCTAAGTTGAACATTTGAAAGAAGAGAAGTCCGTATGACACGGGATGGGGTCTTGCCTCGATGCCATGTCATCAGGGCAGGTCATCGCATTGTGATCAATTCCTGAAAAATACGATCTATTCCTTCCTCAGATATTACCCCCTCCCCCTTCCCATGCTACCTACCAATTTCCTAGAGTTTCCCAACTTCCTATCACTTCTTCCATTTTTTTTCAGAAAAATTTATGGTTTTTTCCCAAAATTTTGCTGTCGGGTGGGGGGAAGGGTCGTCAGGAGTTAATTATCATATTCATTATCGGAAATATTAGTTGTATAGATCTTTGGCACAACCCTCTCCCAACAAAGACCAAATACGACGTCCCCTTCAAAGGCGTCCATAAAACAAGAGAAAACAACTATCAACTAAATTTTAATCAGACCAAATGCAACCCCCCCTTCCGGTCGCTATCAAATACGATCCCCTGTTGTGATCATCACCACGGCGTGCCCTGCAGGTCATTGAGTTCGCATGAGTTTTGTTGCTGCAATCAATACACTGATGCACAATAAGCCAAATCAGTACACTGATGCTTCGCCGCGCACCGCCGCACGATACGCCGATCTTGCGGCTTATTACGATTCTTTTGCCCGTCTCCCTCTCAGCTATACATTTATACTTGAATATTTAGTAATCACCTCCGAAATATCCACAGAGAGGCATGCGATATCAAGGCAGTCATAGACCGTGCTCGGTGTTGTCGACGTTGCCACAGGGGATACGCCGACTCCAAGCGAATTAGTACCAGCTGACCCTGGAGCTGCCACGAGGCCTCTCGTTATTGGGCGGACTGCCTGTAAATATATGGATCATAGGTCAAAAAATACAATCAAGAAAAATCGAATTGGGGTTGAGGGCCATTACATCTATACTGGGCAGTTGACGGGTGGCAGGGTCGTAGATGCCTTCGTCGCGGAGACGTTGAGGAGAGCGCGACAATGTAACAAATTTACATGAAGCGCCAGAGCAGCTGTGACGCCTCCATGGGGGCGGGTATTCTAACGTGGGTGATTGGTGCGTCAGAACAGCTGTATTGCAATTGAAGGTGGGGGAGGGGCACTCCACAAAGTTATGATTAGCCCCTTCCGTCAACCACGGATTAGGTATAGAGCGTAGACGGCCAGAGTCCCTGATGAGCCTGCGAGTTTAGCCCAAATGACTCTATCGCGCTATAAGCCTTAGCCTTCGTTGAAGGAAGGACTCAGAGTGTTCTGTTGAAAGCCCCACGATCCTTCCGGTTACATCAGACGACAACACAAGCGAAAATGCTGTGACGTTGGAGTTTGATATTATTTCATGTACAACACAGGTGGCCAGAGGAATGCTCGTTTGTTTGTGATCGTCTCTCAGAAGTAAGCCCCGTAGCCTTTCTCCCGAGTATGGGACCAGTTTAGGGGATCGAATAATGATTTAGCTTTTGAAATATGCGAAAATGAGGCGCTCTTCCAGAAACCGCTAGGAGAATGCCATCAGAGGTCGCATCTGATCCCTAGTGATGGTGTCCTATTTCATTTGTCATTTGGGTTATAGCTGGGGCCGCTGAATAGGGAACTTTTCGCGAGTACGATAAGATCTTTTATTTTATTTTATTATTTTTATTTCTAGGTTACTGACTTTACCGCTTTTTCCTGTTCCATGTGCGTACACCACCACAAGACGCCTCTTGTCCAGGAAAAAAAGAAAGTTTTTAGGAACACTGCGAAATATGGTAGAAAGATGGGAAAATCGGGGGGTTCGTTGGTAGGATATGGAAAGGAGAGGCGCTGACACCGCCAGTTCACAGATCACGATGCTGTTGCACCTCGCTCCCATGTGGGACGCTTTGATGCAAGGCACCCAAGCTGCCCACATGGGAGCGAGGTGCAACAAAACTACGACAATGGAGCCGCGAGTGGGGAGTTCCATCTGACCAAGGAGAGGGAAAGCTATGAGGTACGACAGCCGGAAGATCCAAATCCTTTGTGCAAAAGTCATTGTTTTGAAATATCAGATAAAAAAGCGATCGATAAGTGATAGAGTTTGGCTTGGTGAGGGCATTTTGCCGGTTCTCATCTATGACTGCCAAGCCTCTCGAGGAGACCCTAGATTCTTGAAAAGCTACGCAATTGAGGCACGTTCTGCAGTTGAGGAAAACTTCTATCAAATGCCAAAGCATGATTCCCCCCCTCTCCCAGCTACCAATACTACCTTCCTCGACGGTGATTCCCAACGCATGACCTGCCCGGTATGCAGTAGCATGAGCCTCGTTTACATTTGACAGGCGCCTTCAGGTATCGCCCAGGTGAAATTCTGGGAATGGTCGTGCAATTTGACAAGAACTAGGAGAAAAACTTGTGTAGGAGCAGAATGTCCCCCTCCCCAAGCCGAAAAGCGCATGATAAAACTCAGAACTGTTTGAAGTAGAACAAAGCAACGTACCCGAGTGTTCCTATCCCAGTTCGTGATCTGTTGGCAGGTGATTTGCAAAGCCGGTGTGGGTGCATTATCACAAATACCTTGAGCGTTTGTGCTTACCAACAAGCTTACTAAACTGTACGCTATGGTAAACCAGAGCATAGTGAAGCTCTGCCACCGTATCCCAATCGCCTGGAAGTGTTATGAATAAGGAGTTCTGGGCAAAATTTCGTTGACTACATCCATATCCAGCAGATGGGGAAGGCGTGGCTACACATTTCATTTGAAAGTGGCGGTACACTTTTGATGGGATACTGTGATTTTAAAAGAACTGTAGTCATGTTGCTGTCCACAAGGACGATGCCAGTTGTCTCAAACAAAATTTCCACGGAAAAGCATCCGCTGTCATG